TTTTTTTTTTTTTTTTTTGGTACCAGGGACTGAACTCCAGACCTTGCGCTTGCGAGGCAGGCGGTGAAACCACTGAGCTAAATCCCTGGCCCCTGACCTTTTTATTTTTAAACCCTGAATTTTAAAGCTAAAAAAGTACAGAGGATAATATAACATCTGTGTAGTCATCATCATTGACGGGCAAATACTAAATTTTGGTTTTTTAGCTTAATTTTTTAAATAAAAAATATAAAATATTATGCTTAATTTGAGTCTGTTTCCTTCTGCAGTCTGATTCCCTTTGTTCTATCCCCAGTGCCAACCACTACTTTAAAATTAGCATGTATTAAGTCTACGTCTTTATTCTTGACTATGAATATATGTAGGATTAGTTTTGTGTTGTCCTTTCATAAATGAGATACTGAATGTAACATTCTGCAGCTTTTGTTTTTCCCTTTGTTGGGGTTCTGCTTACTTTAACACATAGCTAATTCTTTCATTTTTACAGTTGTACTCTATAATATTCCATGAAATGAATAGCCACTGTATCCATTCTGGTTGTGGGGTGCATTTGTGCTGCTTGCAGTGTTTTACAATTACACATGATACTGCATAGAACATTCTCGGGCATGTCTCATTAGCAGAGGAATTTCTAAGTTAGAGGCTTTACTTATTGTTAACTGTATTAGATGTTGTCACATTACTTTGCAGAGTATCAACCTCAACTTACACCCTTACTAGCATGTTAAGCAGTTATTTCCTTATATTTTCATTAATGTTTGGTATTGTCAGACTTTAATTTTTTGTCATTCTGATGGGTAAAATGGTATTTATTTTGTGAATGTTTATGGCTGAGCACCTTTTGATATCTTTATTGAATTTTTTATTTGTATTTTCATTCATTTCCTTTTTGTTTATTGGTTTCTTGACAGGAGTTCTTTATATATGCTAGGTACTAACTCATTGGTTTTATCTATCACAGGTGTCTTCTCCTGGCTTTTGGTTTGTCTTTCAGCTTGGTGGTATTTTTTTTTGTTCTATAGTTTTATTTTCTGACATGATCAAATTGATCTTTTCGCTTATAACTTTTAAGCTTTATTGCCTGTGTAAGAAGCCTTTTCTTACCTGAGCATCATAAACATTTCCCATATTTTCTTCCTTTTTCTTTTTCTTTTTTTTTGTTTTTGTTTTTTTGCTATTTAGTCGAGGCTGGCCTTGAACTCACAGCGATCCTCCTGTCTCAGCCTCCTGAGTACTGGAATTACATGCTTTTGCACTATATCCAGCTTGCTCATTTTTTTTGTTATTTAGATCTTTCATTAATCTGATATTTAACTTCATGAATGGCATAACACTAAGGATCTAATTTTGAGGTTAACAGCCATTTGTTGTCTTGCCACCGTCTGCTTATCATTGCATGTGTTGTGGTTTAAGTCACCTCTGTGGTCCATGGTGCTCTTGTACACATGAATCTGGTTCAGTTCATTGCTCCTGTACCAGCTCCATGACATCTTATTTATGTTCATCTTATTAAAGCTTTTTGATAAGGCAAGAGAATTTGCCTGACTTTATTCTTTTCCAGAGTTTGGCTTTACTATGTTTGCATTTTAATAAACTTAACATTTGTTAAATGACCACTCTTGTAGGGGTTGAATCTTTAGTGAAGTAAATAATTACTTAAAGAATTTGAAAATGGAAATACAAAGGGAGGGCAGGGGAAGGGAGAAAAAGTAAGAACCAAGAGAGTATGTAAAGGTACATATCTCCAATGATGAATGTCATTATATTGTATACCTAAAATGTACCAATAAAAGGATATACAAAAAAAAAAAAGATAATGGAAATACATGATTTTTATGTTTGAAATTCCTAGGGCTTTCTCTTACAGGAAGAACAAGGTGTGTTAGATTAAGCAATTGGTTTTAAATAATCAATGGTCTTGATAAATAAGTGTCACCTAATGCTTGTCTCATCTTAAGGTATAACCTTTACATTTAATCTATATTTTCTATGAAAAGTATTTGTTTGCATTATTTTTTTGCCCTCTACTGAAGTGAGGAGTGACTGACTCAGAAGATGAGTGTCGCCGGGGATTTAGCTCAGTGGTTCCGCTCCCTGCCTCGCAAGTGCAAGGACCCGAGTTTGATCCCTGGTACCAAAAAAAAAACAACAACAACAACAAAAAAGAAGATGAGTGTCGTTATGAAGAGATCCTGCATGTGTGTGAATTAAAAGGGATCAGGAGAGATGACTGTTTCAGTTGATCACTGTTCTAGTTATGATTGCTGCAGAACAAGTCACCCTAAGTCTAGCGGATCGCAGTAATTTCATCTGTGATTTCTGTGGGTTGGGAGTTTTAAGAACTACTCACCTGGGTAGCTCTGCTCTAGGTATCTGTGGAGATGTAGTCAGATGAGGGGTAGAGCTGGTATGGCAAGGTGCTTGGAGCTGACCAGGCACCTTTGTCTTCTCTTTGTGGCCCTCTGCATGGCCTGGCTTTGGCTTTACAATACCGTACAGCAGCTCAGAGCACTCAGTCTGCCCCTATGGCTGTTGACAGCTAAAGGCAAGGAGGTCCAGTTGACAGGCTTTGCCTCTTTTAAGCTAGACTTGAAAGTCAGGCATCATCATGTCTATTACATTCTGATGACTACAGACAGAGTCACAATCCTGGCCAGATGGTAGGAAAGGGAATTAGACTCTTAATGGGGAAGTGGCAAGGTTCTAGAAAGGTTTGAGGAGAAAGGTTGCAATTTTATTTGGAAAATATTGTCTTCCACCATGTCTGAGTTTATAAATGCATCTTGAGGTCCAGATGCCAAAGAAGTGACTGATGAAAATGATTACAGCTTGCTTTTATGAGAGCTGCCTGTGTGGAACAGTAAATATAACATACAAACAGCCCCCAAAGAGGCCAGATGAAAGTTGGGGATCAAAGACCTAGGAAAGGCTTTCAAAAAGTAGATGGGCTGGGTATGTGTGACTGAAGCAGAGGAGGCCTTCAAGGAGCCCAAGGAGCAGGAGACTCACAGGCACAGGAGAGAATGAGTGCATGGTGTGAGGGGCAACCCAGAGCAGGAAGTGAGAGGGACCAGCTGGAACAGTGCTTCGAAAGCAAATATATCAACTTGCTGCAGGAGGAGATGGAAAGGCATTATGGCTCTTAGTGGATTTTACTTTAATAAAGTACTGTCACTTGAGTTTTCCTGAGATGTGATTGTCACTGCACATTGCTCTCCTTGCAGTGTCCCGTACCTGCCTGTCGTGGGAAGTCATTCACTCCTCTCCACAGCTCTCCTCTTACAGTTACCGTGGACTGGCAGTCGATCAAGTAAGCAGCAGACTGTTAAATAAAAGGCGGGGTTTAGGATTTCTCATGGTGCTGAGCAAATCTGTACCCTTCCTCCATAAACAGTGATGAAGTGTATAGAGGTATATTTGATGGAAAGTTTGTGTGTTGAAATTACTCTTGATCTGAAAGGTATTGTCTATCAGATTTCAGAAAGAATGGAAAGATTTTGTCCTATGGCTATTGAGAAATATTTCATTATATTACTAACTTATATAATGATTTGATGGTGTGATTCACCAAACTGGATATAGACCATAAGTGAAGCTATATGATTCATTTCCTAATGAGCTTCACAAAGAATATTGAAGTTTTCAGATGAAGAAGCCCTTAGCATCAAGCCTGTTTTCCTTTCATGTTCTTACTGTCCTCTAAGCATTTTATACCATTTGCTAATAGGCTCTTTTTAAGATAAGCATTTATTTTTTGGTTCCATGTAAATTTATGATTTTGGTGTATTATATGGTAGTTTTGGGGGCTTTTTGCAAAATAAGGTAGTTTTCTCTATTTTTCATCCAGTAATTTATTTCTTTTTTTTTAGCCGCAGGGCCATAATTCATCCCTAAATATAAAGTAATGAGTGGTTTTTTAAATCAGAGTGCTCTCCAGGATCCTAAAGCACTAACAACCTAGGGAAAAGATGAAGTGGCTTGGTACCAACCCCTGTCCTAGGTTCATCCCTCCTTCCCAAAAAGGCCAACAATTGTAATAAATATCTGTTTAAGACTCCTGAGTTTGATTGTGTGCCCTCTGAGTAGCAGAGACTAATTTCCAGCCAGGTCTATGGGACTTTTACCACTAAGGGGGGATGAGGGCGGGAGAGGGTCTATAAAGTTCACAGAATGGCAAATGTAGACAAGACCTAGTGTGATTTAACTCTATGAACAAAACTTCTTTGATTTCAAGTTAAAATAGCAAAAAAAAGAAAATAAGCTTAAATATTCTAATCAGATTTGAATGATCTCCTGATACTAAGAAATCAAACACAGTGGTAGACAGTTGAAAACAGACTATTTAAATCCTTTTTGTGACCTAGGCATGGTGGTATTTACCTATAATTCCAGCTATTCTGGGAGACTGAGGCAGGAGGATCACAAATTGAGGCCAACCCGGGCAATTTTGCAATACCTTATCTCAAAATAAAATTTAAAGAAGGGTTGGGATATAGCTCGGTGATAGAACACTTCCAGGTATTACAAAAAACAAAAACAACTTAAACCCTTTTCTTGAGTCTTTAAAATATGATATTGCCCCAATTAGTTTAAAAATGAGTTATAGTAAAACATGTCTAGACAACCAGGTATAGTGGTGCATACCTGTACTCCAAGCTCTTGGGAGGCTGAGGCAGAAGGATTGTCACAAATTCAAGGACAGCCTGGGCTACATAGTGAGTTCAGGACCAGCCTAAAGTACATAGCAAGGCCCTGCCTCAATAAAACAAAAAAGGCAGTATTAGCTTATGTAATTGTTTTATTCTATAGATAGTGACTTTTTGCCTTAGAAGAAACGTTTCCTTTCTGCCATTTATAGCTAATTCAATTTCTATTTTTTCTGAGGTTGAGGTTGGAATGGTCATGGGAATTAAATTATTGTTTCTCGGGAGCTGGGCACGGAGGTGCGTGGAGTGGAGCTTGGGGCTGTAGAGGGAAGTGCAGCTGATCGGCTGGGCAAGCCAGCAGAGCTGAGACGTCGGTCAGGCGGTGGCAAACATGAGCTTTTGACGCATTAGAGGCTTTCTTGATCATGGATGGTGAAGATATACCAGATTTTTCAAGTTTAAAGGAAGAAACTGCTTATTGGAAGGAGCTTTCCTTGAAGTATAAGCAAAGCTTCCAGGAAGCTCGGGATGAGCTAGTTGAATTCCAGGAAGGAAGCAGAGAATTAGAAGCAGGGTTGGAGGCACAATTAGAATAGGCAGAGCAAAGAAATAGAGACCTGCAAGCTGATAACCAAAGATTGAAATATGAAGTGGAGGCATTGAAGGAGAAACTAGAACATCATTATGCACAGAGCTACATGCAGGTTTCTGTATTAGAAGATGATTTAAGTCAGACCAGGGCCATTAAGGAGCAGTTGCATAAGTACGTAAGAGAGCTGGAGCAGGCCAATGATGACCTAGAGCAAGCAAAAAAAACAGTAGTTTCACTGGAAGACTTTGAACAAAGGCTAAATCAGGCCATTGAAAGAAATGCATTTTTAGAAAGTGAACTTGATGAAAAGGAATCTTTGTTGGTTTCTGTACAGCAGTTAAACGATGAAGCAAGAGATTTAAGGCAAGAACTAGCAGTTCAGGAAAGACAACAGGAAGTGACTGAAAAGTTGGCTCCCAGTTCTCTGACTCTGGACTGTGAGAAGATGGATTCTGCTGTCCAGGCTTCTCTCTCCTTGCTGGCTACCTGTCGGCAAAGGAACAGAAAACAGTTTTTCTTCCCCAAAAGCTATACCAAATGGTTTTAGAACCAGTCTACTAACTCCTTCAGCTAGGATATCAGCACTAAACATTGTGGGGGATCTCTTACGGAAAGTAGGGGCTTTAGAATCCAAGTTAGCAGCTTGCAGAAATTTTGCAAGGGACCACGCAGCACAAAAATCTTATATTTCAGGGAATGTTAACTGTGGAGTGATGAATAGCAGTGGCACAAAGTTTTCTCGATCAGGGCACACATCTTTCTTCGACAAAGGGGCAGTAAACGGCTTTGACCCAGCTCCTCTTCCTCCTGATCTGGGCTCCTCGTGTCCGTCGTCAGCACCGGGTATGTTGCCTCTCAGTGTGTGAGTGCCCGGCCTCCAAATGGAGGCTCCAGCCCTCCTCCACCAACCCAGGACACCCACACCTCACCCTTCGGTGCCTGGGCTCAGCCCTGTGCCCCTCTTCCTGTCTCCCCATTGCTGGCAGAGGGCAGGCTGCATGCAGTGGTGGCTGCTGGGCCTTGCCCAGCCCCAGGACTCTGCGCGATCTCAATACTGGCTATTTTCTCTTCGCGCCGTAGTGCCATTGGTTTCACATGATTGCACTTTTGTGGCTCACAAGGTGATACATATGTGTATTACTTGGTCACTGGTTGCAGAAGTACCCATTCATCACACCTGCATAGCCCCCACTCTGCTGTGCTGATAGGATTTAGTTGTGTTTAGGACATTGCAGATCTCTAGAAGTTTTTCCCCGAATCAGGTTAACGTGTGCCCTCCTCCTCAGCTCCCACCTAAGCATCTTCAGTGCTCATAATCATGTGTCCCCAGTTCCACCCTTATAGTTTGGGCCTGTTTCTGGCAAAGAGTCAGGAAGGTCACTGAATTCAGGAACATCGTCTGCACCTTCTGATTTTACATAAGCAGTCACCATTCCATATACTTGCCTCCCAAACCAGTGAAATGCCAGTCTGAGCCACAGGTGGCAGGAGCCTCCAGGGCCTGGGCACTCCTAAAGCTAAGCCTCTGTGTTGCCTCCTCTTCCACGTGCCTCAGACTCAGGGGAGTAGGTGGCAACCTCCTCACCAGCTTTCTGGTCCTTCAGTTGAGTGGTATTTTCAGATTTTTGTTTTCACATCTGAGGGTCCATCCAGTTCCTTAGGGAAGGATTGGGTGGCCTAATTCTGGAGGCTGGTGATGCCAGCTCCTGGGGGCAGACTGACCAAAAGTGATTGTGCATCCTTTGATTACTCTCATGCTGCATTTACTGTTTGCATTTGTTTTATTGTACATAGGTTTGTAAACATTATTGCCTAAGATATTTGTATATAACTTGGGCTTTGTAGCTTTTATTTATTCAGAACTCATATGGCATGGTAATGACTTAGGATGATGTCCTACTCTGGGCAGCTGTATAGGATCATCATGTGGTTAAAAAAAATACTTCCCCTCCTCCCCCCAAAATCTTTTAATGTGGAAACAATAAATTTCACAGAAAAAAAATAAAAAATAAATAAATTATTGTTTCTCAACTAATGCATTGAACCCGTGTGTGCATCAAGGGGGCGGCCTCGTAATGTATATCAAAGCTTACCGATGCTGCAGTCCCTGTTCTTAGAAGTTTTATCTAATGACAACAGCCATGATATGTGTAGAAATAGTTCTCAGATGGTATGTTTTCACAGTGTCAGTAAAACACTGGGAACATGTAAACATCTGAAGAAAATTAAAAGGAAGATGGTAAGTGGTCATTGTGTAACCACTACAAGTGGTGAGGTAGGAAAATATTTTTAAGTGAAACCAAAATTTGTTTTAGTGTATTCTGGGGCAAAGCAGGTCCTCGAGAGTTATCTGCTGTACAGTCCTGGCTCCTAGCTTTATTTATTGATTGATTTTTGGTTTTTTTGGAGACAGGGACTCACTATGTAGCCCAGGCTGACCTTGAACTCTTGGTGATCCTGCTTCAACTTCTTGAGTATTAGGATTACAGGTGTGCACCACCACACCTGGATCAGCTGTTCTCTAGACCTGTAGTCCTCCTTTATCCTGGGATTTTCTTTGTCACACTGCTAGAGTCGGGCCCCCATTTTCTTGGATGTTGTCTTCTGTAATTTTATTTTTGTAGAGAAATTCTCAAGAAATTTTCAGACCACTTACATAGGTAAAAGGTTCTGGGTCCTTGTGTGTCTGTAAATGCCTTTATTTGGTTCCTAGCCCAGGTAGGAGCTCACCTGGCTACCAATGTCTTGTTTTATTGATGTTTTCCCTCCTGTGGACGAGGGGTCTGATGCTGGTCTGGTTCCATTCCTTCCCCTCTTGATAGTCTGTATCTCCGATGTCTGAACCAATGAGGAGGGTGTATCTAGTTTGTCTTCATCTGGGACACAGACAGATCCTGTGTCCTCGAGTTGTCTCCCATTGTACAATGCCTGACTTGTCTTCTTGGGCTTCCCATCAGCAGCTGCATCCTGTGGCTTGTTCCTTTGTCTAAGCTTTGTCTCATCCTTTCATTTTCTTTTTTTTTTTGGTACCGGGGATTGAACTCGCGTCCTTGCACTTGTGCAGAAGGCAGCAAAAGCACTGAGCTAAATCCCCAGCTCTCCTTTCGTTTTCTTTGTACTGTTTTCTAAATTTCTTTGGCTTTTTCTTATATCTGTTATAAATGTTGGTTTTTTTTTTTTTTTGGTGCCAGGGATCGAACTTGGCTCATTGCGCTTGCGCAGCAGGCGGTGAAACCACTGAGCTAAATTCCTGGCCAGTTGTTGGTTTTTATATACATATTTTCAATTTTTTTACTCTCACACTTGTTTTCCCATAGTCCCTTTTTTTGTCTTTTAAAGATGGCAATATTTTCTTAAAACTTTTTTTTTTTTCTGGTAACAGGGATTGAACTCAGGATCTTGCACTTGCAAGGCAGGCACAGCACCACTGAGCTAAATCACCAGATTGTCTCAAAACTATTAAGCAGGGGTTTTGTTTTTGTTTTTTAATGTTCTTCCTGAATTATTCCCATTTCATTCTCAAATGTCTGATGAGAAATTACTTGGAGTAGGTAGGACTGGCTTCAGTTTATTTTGTTTTGTTTTGTTGGGTTTTTTTTAATATATGATCTCCACATATAGTTCAAGCGGAACTCACTATGTAGCCCAGGCCAGAATCAAACTTGGGGTGATCCTCCTGCTTTAGCCTCCTGAGTGCTGGGATTACAGGTGGGTACCACCATGCCCAGCAATCATTTGCTATTTTCTAGGTAGACATTGTCTTCCTCATAAGCCCCTGAATAAGTAAGTAGGAGTCTTGACTGTTATGAATGTAGGTTTTGGTTTGTGTGAGACAGGCTTGCACTATGTATTTCAGTGAGAAAATGGACTGGCCTTGAACTTGCAGTGATACTCCTGCTTCAGCCTTCTGAGAGTTGGGAATACATGTGTGCACCACTGTGCTTTATGAATGTGTTTTTGAATTGGTTTGAGCTTCTCAAACGCCAGAATGAGGGGCTTTTTTCTGGAGCGTTGATGGCCTCATTGGACACCTTACCTGCCCTCATAGAGAAAATACATTCATACCTGTACAGCATTGGTCTAGGCTTCCAGGTGGTAAAGTCCTCATTCTTCCCTCCCCGACTGTCCACCCACCTTCCTAAAATATTCTGAATCACTGTTATCTCTGGGTAATTATCCTGATCCCTTCCCTCCAACTCTGGAGCTTCTCTGGGGTTCAGCTGAGAATGTGGGCTCCCGTTTCGCTTTACTCCTGTAGCTTTTGCCTGCGTCTCTGAGACTTTTCTTTCCTCCATCACTGTTTTCCCATTTGCTGTTGTCAGAAAAGTGAACACTGTAGTGTCTGCTGATGATTTCTCTGTGTCCCCAGAACTTCTCTTTATTCTTTCAGTGACTCATTTTTGTGGACCTGTGGAGGGAGGTGAGGCAGATGCCCTGTTCATGCTGCCATGCTGAAGTAATTGTAGATTCACCACCGGACTCTTCTTTTAAAGCTAATCTGGTCTTCTGCTCAGTGCCATGTGAACCCTGAACAGTTACTGTTTTGAGGAAACAACTGAGAGTATGTGTGTATTCTAATCAAAAGTTGTTGAATGTTTAGAATCCAGGAGCTCATGTCTGATGCTCAGCGAGAAGCAGGTCGGATTCCACGAACAATAGAATGTGAGCTCGTTCATGACCTTGTAGATAGCTGTGTCCCAGGAGACACAGTGACCATTACCGGAATTGTCAAAGTCTCAAATGCTGAAGAAGGTATGGATAACTTTTTCCTGATTATGATTGTCTCTCAATAATAATTTGTCTGATTGTCTTTTCTCTATACAAGTTACTTCTGAATCTCAAATAATGTAGGGATTTCCTTGTTGCTTACCTAAGATGAAAGTTTAAAGGTTTATTTATAGCTCACTGTGACTTTAATATCCTAGTGGAGTCATTGTAATGAAAATGAAAATACCAATACTATATTTAATTGAATTATTTTAATTTAATTGAATATTATTTGAATTTATAGGATCTCGAAACAAGAATGACAAGTGCATGTTCCTTTTGTATGTTGAAGCAAATTCAGTTAGCAATAGTAAAGGTCAGAAAACAGAGACTTCTGAGGACGGCTGTAGACATGGAACATTGATGGAGTTCTCACTTAAGGACTTCTATGCCATCCGGGAGATTCAAGCTGAAGAAAACCTGTTTAAACTCATCATCAAGTATGTATGAAGCTCTCTGAGACTGTACTGCATGTTGTGCACGTCAGGTACTTTTGGCTTCAGGTAACAAAACCTTGGCAAAATGATCAGTCAGTTAGTGTCCCTGTGCCCAGGGCAGCTTGCCACCCTGGTATGCCTGTGGATTAGAATGGTTTGGATATTTTTAATGGTTGGAAAAATTAAGTATTTCATAACACACGAAATAATAAATCCAGGTAGCAACATCCATAAAGGAAGTTTTATTGCAACAGAGCCTCATTCATTTACGTAATGTCTTTGGGCTACTCTAGTGCCACATTGGCAGGGGTGAGTGGTTGGAACAGAGAACAGGTGTAGTTCATAAATAGTTTCTAGTCCTTCACAGAAAACATTTGCTAATCTCTAGTTTCAATAACACAAATATAGTACTTACTGTTTCACACAAGCCACAAGCCTACCTCGGAAAGTTGGTCTGAAGATTAAGTGATATTTTGTAATATACTTTTCATAATTAACACAGCATGCTAGTATTTTTTTATATTTTTGACATTTTTTGCATAATTTTAGAGAGGGGTGAAACAAGATTGAATAATAGATGAACCTAAGAGAGGTAAAGAACTGAGAAGACTTTGAAATGAATTTTATAAGGGAAATTGACATTGTTGTGCAGTTCTTTTCACCTAGGCTTTGGGTTCTAGGAGAATTTGATGTACTTTCTTTCTGCCTTTGGGATGTTAATTTGCCAACTGAGGAAATACTGAGTTCCTCAGGGTTCTTTGTCTTTAGATTGGCGGGAGGCCTCCTTGTAAACAGCTGGGAACCCCCTGGGGGAAGGGTGCTTGGTCCCAGGGAGGGTCTGATGTGGTGTGTGATGCCTGTGATGCCTGGGTGCAAGCCAGCAGCCAGGGGACAGATTGGCTGAGGATGTGTACACCTCTAGGACTGGTGCTTCTTACTGGTTATGAACTGAAACCGAACATTTTCAGTGGACCTTCTACCATGTTCATGAGATTGGTATGAAAAACGTGGATTTTTCTTTCCACAGTTTGCTTCTTTTTCCCTTTGTGATTTCAGCATCGAAACTAGCATTTCTCATAGTCTTCCATTTATTAATGTAGCATATTGGGAAACTAGGCCAACTGCCCTTTTTCATAAAGTTGATTTATGCAGTTGATTTACATATCATCAGTAGTTGCTTTCACACTGAAAATTAAATAGTTGCAACTAAGACAGTATAGCCTGCAAAGGTGAAAATATTTTCAGGCTCTTTAAGAAAAATTTTGTTAGCCAGGCGTGGTGGTGTACACCTATAATCCCAGCACTGTGGGAGGCTGAAGCAGGAGGACTCACAAGTTCAAGCCCAGCCTGCACAATTTAGTCTTAATAAGAGCTTGTCTCAAAAAGAAAAAAAGGGCTGGGGATGTAGCTGAATGTGAAGCCTATAGGTTCAATCCTCAGTAGAAAATAGATCCACATAAAAAAGGAAGGGAAGGCCAGGTGTGGTGGTGCACACCTGTTGTCCCAGCAGTCAGGAGGCTGAGGCAGGAGGATCACCGAGACTTCGAGGCCAGCCTGGACAACCTAGTGAGTTCAAGGCCAGCCTAAGCTGCATAGAGAAACCCTGTCTCAAAAAAAAAAAAAGGAAGGGAAGAAGGAAGATTTTGACTCATGCTAGATGACATGGAAAACTATAAGAGGGGAATGGAAGTGACAGTGGAAAGTTATATGTTCTAGTTTAGATTCCTTTGAAAGCAGCAATCGATCAGTTAAGACCACTTGTTTGTGAGGTGAGCCCAGAACCACCAGGGGAGGAAGAGCGAAGTAATACAGAGGAGGGGTGGCAGTCAGTGTGGAGTGCCCTGGTGAACAGTCAGCACCAGCGTCCAGGACATAATCCCTCTGAGGACTCTGGATCACTGTGTTATATGAAATTAGCTTCAGTACCTGTCCTTGTAGCGAGCACCTCGATCTGAGGCTGCTTCCAGGATGTGAAAAGCCCCAGCACTTGTGGTTGGCCCATCCTGCCTGCTGCGGATCTCCTGTGGTCGCAACAAGCCTCTGCAGACAGTGCAGGGTGCAAACCAACGGTGAGCAGTGGGGCACGCTGCACAGGGCCGCCCAAGGTCACAGGCAAGATACCAGCTGCCCCGTGTGTTTATATCTACATATCTACATATACACATATATATGTACATATAACATTTTTTTGGGGTTTTTTTTTTTTTTTTTTTTTTTTTTTAGATAAGGTCTCACTATGTAGTTCAGGCTAGCTTTGAACTTACTGTGGAGCCCAGGTTGGCCTCAGACTCATGGTAATCCTCTAGCCTCAGCCTCCTAAGTGCTGGGATTACAGGCCTGCGCCACCACACCTGGCTTTTTTGCATATATTAAAAGGGGATAATGATCCATATTTTATTCCTGATTACTCTGCCACTCTGTCCACTCTTATTCCTTGTTTATAAAATGAATACATGTAAATATACTTCTTTATATTCATATTCTTATTTAATGTGGTTGTTTCAGAACTCAAAATGAGATTTTATCCCATTTTAACGTATTTTATACTGCGTTCACTCTGTAGTTGTCTTCTTTCAATCCAAGATGTCTATTCACATATAATGCAATATCCTGTACCCTGAAGTGGAAGTTCTGTCATTGTGCATTTCACTGGGTGCCTGTTGCTTTGGGGTCCTGGGGACTGACCGGTGCTGTGATTGCAGGCGGCCACCATCAGGCCCAGTTTGTGGTGCGTGCTAGAGGCCTGCTCTGTCAGGCAGCAGAGCAACAGTGCATTTGGTTACTTTAAATGCACTGCACGTATCCTGTCTCCCTTATAGGCACAGTGTTTAAAGTATTTGTGCTTTTATAGATTAACCAGGAATTTTTAGGAATTTACTGTAAAAAAAATTTCTTGAGTTATTTGAGGGGATATAAATTTTTCTATATTTGTTATACTAAATAAAACAAGTAAGTTGTAATTTCCTAATGGATCGATGAAGTGTATGTTAGAGTTTATGAGCTGTGTTCTGTTTTTCAGCTCACTTTGCCCTGTGATTTTTGGTCACGAAGTAAGTATTTCATCTTCACTCAAACATATATACTCTGCAAAAATAATACTTCATAAAAATAGCTAATTTCTGTTTTTAACCAGTTATTCATATTTTAATATGAATCTTTATTCTTCATAAATTAATGATGCTGGGCATGGTGGCACATGCCTGTAATCTCAGCACACAAGAAGCTGAAGAAGGAGGATTGCTGTGAATTTGAGCCTACCCAGGGCTACACAGTGAGTTCAAGGCCAGCCTGAAGTACATAGCAAGACCTTGTGTCGAAAACAAAAAAATAACAAAAACGTGAAAGCATATATAATATCACAGAGGTATCTTAGAAAGTACAAAGGTCTATTCCCCAAGGCACAAGTCCATTCCCCAAAATTGAGAAGTGTGTGCTGGTTCCTGCCTTAACTTTGGATGTTCAGTCACTTTAAAAGGAGCTCATTCCTATGAAGGCAGCTTTATCTTGCAAAGAGCTGGAGTTTGCCTCCTGCATCACTAAGTTTTTCTTGGTTGTTATGTAGTTCAGACTGGCCTCAACTATTGGTGGTCCTCCTGCTTCAGCTTCTCAAATATAGGTGTCCAGCAACATGCCCAGGTTTTTAATAATATGTGTTATAGAAGTATATGTTTCTATAATTTTGTTATAAAAAAATGAAAATTTCAGTCAGGTTTAAATGTTATATTCCCATAAATCAATGTTGTAAAACATAGAAGCAAGAATACTAGGCCCCTTTTGCCAGGCCTCTTTATATTTTTTTCTTTGTTTTTTTTTTTCCTCTCTCCTTTCACACTTGAGCTTGTTAAAGCAGGTTTGGCATTAGCACTCTTTGGAGGTAGCCAGAAATATGCAGATGACAAAAACAGAATCCCAATTCGAGGAGACCCACATGTTCTTGTTGTTGGAGATCCAGGCTTGGGAAAAAGTCAGATGCTACAGGTAGGAAATCAATACTTTACAATTTGACCTTTGGCTTATAAAAAAACATGAACAACTGACAAGTGAATTTTCTCAAAGCACGGACTGTTTGTGTTCCAGAGGATCTAGTTTGTCCCGTGGTGTAAGTGAGCTGGATGTGTATGAGTCACATGCAGTGTGTATCTGACACTGTTTTCAAACTGAGCCAGTTTCCTGTCACATAGGTTGCAGACATCCTGATCTGTTGAGAGAGGAATTAGGATAAAATGTTAACCATTTCCAACACTTTTGATGTGTGGGGTATCTAGCAATGTTTTGCTAGGCCTTATTGTTGAGATGTGACCTCACCTCTGAACAGAATAGTTAAGGCAGTAAAACAGCGCCACCCATTCTCTTTTCCTATAAGTGCGTCGGCACTGGATTGGGTTTAAGAAGGATCTGATGAAGGTAAGGGAATCTGTATACTTCCTGCTTGTTTCTCTCAGAATCCAAAGCAGAGCAACTTCATGTCTGGTCAGTAGTTGTTGGTTGGAGAAGATCCTGCCTCTGCCAGTCAGAGAGGTGTTTCCCTTCTGGGTTCATGATGGCTACAGAAGGTGCTGCTTGTTGGAACACTTGTGGCTTCCTGCAAGTCAGCCACATTGTTCTTTCTAAGAAAGCCTGGAATCTCCTTTCCTCCTCAACCAATATAGAAAATGTGGCCAGGCCAAGGGCTTCCCAGCCCTTTGGTGCATTATAGCTCCATGACTGATGACTCTTTGTCCAGGGTTTGGGAACCTGGTTGCACATCAGAATCACCTTTGGAGCTCTTTGAAGATACTCTTGCCAGCTCCAGGCAAAATGAATTAAGAGTCTCCCAGTTAAGAGTCCTAGTGTCTGTACATGTGCAGCCAGGGTTGAGAACAGAACAGCTTTGGTCTTGACTTGACTTTACAATCTGCTTCCCTTCGTGTGTGTGTCACCTTCATTTCCTGAGTGTCAAACCAGTCATCATTGTAATTCCATTAAAATATTGCATCCATGTTCCATTCCTCTTGGCCAGCTGAGCCTACTTTAAAAAACAAAAAATCCATTTTGAGTCTTTGCCACAGCCTGAGGTACAGAGAGCTGAGGTAAAGAGTACCTGCTTGTAGGTGAAACAAAATTTGGGATAAAAATGGAAGCAGGTTTGCCAGAATGTATAGGAAAAAGTACCTGTATGGATCTGAAGTGTTACACCTTTCTTTTCTGTCTTTTGTCATATACAATAAGTTCCTGACTTACGAATGAGTTCTGTTCTGGAGAATTGTTCATAAGTTGAATTTGTTCATAAGCTGACAAAGCGAGTCTTATACAGTTATACACCTGTGAAAGTTTGCAACTCAAATGTTTGTTAAGTCAGGGACTTACTATATATAAGTGGTGCCTTTGTTCACAAACTCAATTCTCTCTACAATTCTAATTGCAAACCAAACTGGATTAGAACTGAATCGAATTTGTCCATAAGGTCAACATTGGACCTAACCTTTGAATTTGATTCAGTTCTCCAACTTGCTTTGTGACCAGAATAATGGAAAGAACCAAGTTTGTGAACCAAGGTATGTATATATGGAGTGCCTGTGTGTGTCTGTGTGACTTTTGAATTAATGTACTGTAGTTGGAAGCCTTGTTTAACTTCCAGTGGTTAGCTATACAGATAAGTCTTACAGTTGAATTTATACATGTTATTCACAGTACATAAAAGTTTCATTTTCCTCTAGTACATCTTTTTTATTTAGGAAATATCTCTTGGCAGATAAATGGTTCTAAAATACATTTAATGGTACTGAAAAGTGAAAAAGTTAATACTAAGAAATGACATGGTTAATTTTTGGTTTTTAGACCTGGAACAATGCTATTAAAACTCTTGGCTCCAAGGGCCAGGGATTTAGCTCAGTGGTTCTGCTGCCTGCCTCGCAAGCACAAGGACCCCAGTTCGATCCCCGGTACCAAAAAACAAAACAAAACAAAAAACTCTTGGCTCCATTTAAAAATAGAAGCCTAACTATTAATGGAAATTAAAGATTTTAAACAGTGGAGGATATTGCATGTAAATCCCACTAGGTCAGATTTTTAAAAATTAGGCTATCACTCCATTATGAGCTGTTTATATTTTTAATCCTGTTTTTTTTACAACTATTTAGTAAGCAACTTAGTAAATCATTCTCAGGGTACTGTAAGGTTTCTCAAGAAGACTAACAAATTAGGAATTGCGAGTAATGGCAATAATGATAGTTGCTGTTTTCTGAGCCAGCACCATACAGTCACTTGGGGTGTGTACTGCACACGTCCACAGCGAACCACTGACATCATGACAAAATGAGTGCCATTCCCTGGAGTTGGGCAGGGCACAGGCACATATAGTGACTGTGCTGAGCACTTACAATATGCCAGGCACCAGGTTAAGTGCCCTGCAGGGCAGTACTGTGATGGCAGAGTGAGATCTGGTGTGTGGTGGATCTAGGATTGAAACAGTTCTACCTGGCCCCACAGATCTGTGATTTAACTGTGTGTGCTGTTTACTTTTCTGGCATAGCTTGTCTGCTCAGAAGGTGAACACATATTAAGCCCTTTTATTACCTGATATTTAAAGAAGGATGAGAACTTTTGAAATTAAAATCGGTACTCAGGATTTGCTATTTGAACTTGAAAATGAAGCATAACATGGAATTATATTGAGTATTGAGACTCCAGAGTCAGCCTGCCCCAGTTTGATTGGCTCCTGGCCTCCCTCCTTCTTAGCTGTGTAGCTCCTGTAGCTCCTCATTCTTAGTAGGCCTTGGTTTCCACAACAGTAAGCCAGGACATAATCGTGCCTGCCTCTTCGGTAGTGGTGCAGCTTATACAGTAAAGCTCTTAGAAGGATACCGGCCATTTGGGAGCAGTTTACCATTAACTATTATTTCCCTTTTCCTCAGAATGATTCTCTTAAGCTTTTTGTTCGGTAGGCAGTATGCAACATTGCTCCACGTGGTGTGTATGTCTGCGGTAACACCACGACCACCTCTGGGCTGACTGTAACTCTTTCAAAAGACAGTGCCTCTGGTGATTTTGCTTTGGAAGCCGGCGCCCTGGTACTTGGCGATCAAGGTGAGACCAAGGGGAATGATAATCAGTGACACTAGGGCTCCCCTTCTCCCTCTCCTCTCTTCTCCCTGCTAATCAGCAGTTATTTTCCCTATGCATGGCTGAGGGGAGGGCATGTTAGAGGAGATGTGCCATCCTTGGCCCACAATGCCTCAGTCAGTGGTGACACTTTGTGCTAGGTTGGAAGCAGTTAAGCAGTTTCACTGCACTTGTATAGGCGGTCTTGGTATTAAGAACGTAGTACTGGGCTGGGGATTTTGGTCAGTGTTGCCACGCCTGCCTTGCAAGCGCAAGGTCCTGAGTTTGATCCCCGGTACCCCAAAAAAAGAACATAAATCATGTGTCCCACTGTCCCCAAAAAACCTAGCCCAATAGCACTTTTCCCCTGAAACCTTTCCAGATTTCCCTTTTTACAAATATCCCATACCTCATATGGTTTTTGAAGTATATTTCTTAAATATATACTTTTTTTGTGTATATGTGGTACTGGTGATTGAACTCTGTGCCTTTACAGTGAGCTGCATCCCCAAGTTTGTTTTTTTTGTTTTTTGGTTTTTTTTGAGACAGGGTCTTGCTAAGTTACACAGGTTGGCTCAAACTTGCCATCCTCCTGCCTCAGCCTCCCAGAGTGCTGGGATTACAGGTGTGAGCACCATGTCTGGCTTCAATTATATATCTTATCTCAGCTGTTGGAATTTAAATCCTTCAGCATTTGGAAGGTCATTCTCATATCTTCTTCATTTTTGTAACCCTCACAACATAGTGCTTTGCCTATGGAAATAGTGAATGAATAAATATTATACAAAACTTAGTTAAATAAGGCAACTGCATTATTTGCTATAAAACAAATAGTAATTCTCTATTGTATGACAGTTTATAATTTTAACTGCTGGAATAAATGAAAATAATTCTTTATCATGGAACAATTTCTATTTTGTAAAACTTGGAATTTGACCAAAGGAAAACAATTTTGAAAAAAAAATGAAAATAAAATAAAAAACAATTTTGTTTGTATTATTCTTCTGTGATTGTAGGCATTTGTGGAATAGATGAATTTGATAAGATGGGAAACCAACATCAAGCCTTGTTAGAAGCCATGGAACAGCAAAGTATTAGCCTTGCAAAGGCTGGTGTGGTTTGTAGCCTCCCTGCAAGAACTTCAGTTATTGCTGCTGCAAACCCAGTTGGAGGACACTATAATAAAGCCAAAACAGTTTCTGAGAATTTAAAGTAAGTATCTTCAAATATTTATACCTTTAAATCAATAAGAAAAAGAACTGAGGACACAAATGGATAGTTCACAGAACAAGTATCCAGTAAATGTACAAAAGTGTGCTTAAATGCTGTAAATTAACAATGAAATACTATTGATAGGTACAAGATTGGCATACATTTTAACTATTAATCATTATTGGCAATAGAATGGGGAAATAAGTTCTCATATACAAAATTTAGTATTTTGAAGGAGCACTTAGTATGTTTACCACAATGTTTTAAATTTACATTCCATTTGTTCCAGCTATTCTATTTTTAGGAATTCTGCTCATGGAAATAGTGGAACAAGTGGATAAAGAGAGGTTGGTAGGGTGGATATTGTAGCATTGTTTATCACTACCCAAATCAGAAATTACTTCAGACTGCTGTACAGTGGAAAGTAGCAACCACAAGGATAAAATTGGTTTCATATGTACTGGTAAGGGAACATGTTTCCATTTCACTAGTAAGTGAGAAGACCATGTTACATATTTATATATGTAGTGTGATCCCATTTTTTTCAAAAACAGCATTCATATCTTGAGTGTGCACTTTCTCTTTTACTTAGTTTTGTAGAGGTTGGACAAAATGTATGGAAAGAAGAAAACAGAATTAAGTGATGCAAAAATGAGGAAAAGACAAAAGGGTGCCTCATATGAAAAATTAAAACCTTAAGTTTAGTATGAAAAAAATTTTCCTTTTTTTCCCCTTCCAGTACAGGTGTTTGAACTCATGCCCTGGTACATACTAGGCAAGTGCTCTACTACTGAGCTACAGCTATCCTCCTCCCTCCGCCACTATTTTTCAATTTTGAAACAAGTTCTTGCTAAGTTGCCCAGGCTGGCTTTGAGCTTACAATCCTCCTTGCCTCAGGCTTCTGCGTAGTTGGGATTACAGGTGTGTGCCACCATGCCTGGACTACTTTTTGTTGTTGTTTGAGATGGGATTTTGCTATGTTGCCTAGGGTAACCTCGAACTTGTGAGCTCAAGTTACCTTCCTCCAGCCTCTCCAGTGGCTGCGAATATAGGAGTACACCACTGTGCATGGCTAATTTCCTAATGTTTTAATAATTTATACACTTAGAAATATAGTCTTTGATACATTACAAAGTGTACAGTTTTACTTAGAGATTTGGAGTATTTCTGTACCACAGCCACCAAAAATGTCAGCCCATTAGTAGTTTGCTGTTAGTAAAATAACAAAGTGCTATATTTTAAAGATCAGAAGGGGAAGGGGAGGAAAAAAGATGTGTTTTATATATGTACCAACTTGCTGTGATGGATATAATCATGTACTGCATATATGCACTAATAAAAATTTTTTAAAAAGAAAAATCCTATTGAACAAAAATCCTGGTGACTTGGATTTTGGTTTTTAGTGGTACCACAAACCTGCTTTGATGTCTTGGTCAAATTTGTCACTCACTCTGAATTTCATGTTTTTCTGTCTCAACTAGAGACCTGGATTTATGGGTACAGAGAAGGTGACTAAACAGAACATAGCATTTTTCCTCTAATGATCAATAGCTATATAGATGACCTTTGAAAAAAAAGTAGGTTCTTCTAAATGGGCCATGGGTGATTTGAGAGAGTCAGTGTTTTGATGAGACAAAAGACATAAAAGCTTAAGAACTACTCAATTAGATAACCTCTGGTTCAACATGTGGCATTGTCAGTAATAACAGAACATGGAGAATTCAGTGGTTTTGATGGTAGGAGAATGAACCATGTCCTCAACCTGCCAAAGGTAGGTACATATAAATCTTGTGCACATGTTGAGGGGTTTGGTGTAGCTGGATATATTGAATCCCAAAAGCTGTTTGCTTATTTCTTTAAACTAAAGGTTCTTTTTGTTTTCTTTAACATGGAACTTGAATAGTAAGCAAGTAGGGCAGGGGATTTAGCTCAGTGGTTCTGGTGCCTGCCTTATAAGCTCAAGGTCCCGAGTTCAATTCTCGGTACAAAAAAATAAATAAATAAAAGCAGTAGTAAACAAGTAAATAGTTTTCTACATTTTCTGGTTATTTTGACCCCACTCACCATTTTTTTCTTTTTTCCGTGCTTCCTAGAATGGGGAGTACCCTGCTCTCCAGATTTGACTTGGTCTTTATCCTGTTAGACACTCCAAATGAGCAGCATGATCACTTACTCTCTGAACACGTGATTGCAATAAGAGCTGGAAAGCAGAGAGCTGTTACTAGCGCCACAGTAGTTCGTGTGAATAGTCAAGATTCAAATACTTCTATACTTGAAGTGGTTTCTGAGAAACCATTATCAGAAAGACTAAAGGTATACATGCTTCTTCGTAATCATTCAGTTTGGTTCTACCTGAGTGTTGAATGTCAGTGTGATGGAAACTGGGTGTGATATAGCGGCAGAGCATGTATTTAGTGAGCACAAGGCCCTGGGGTCCATCCCCAGCACCACCACTCAACAAAAAATCAAAAACCAAAAAGATTCCCTGTGTGACTTACTGTAGAACAATAGTATATAAACTTTCATGCCAAAACTTTTTGTATTGTGATACTAGAGTTTATATAAATTTTCTTGAAATCATTTAAGTCAACTAGAATGACAGCTGCAATTATAGTGTTTGATTTATTTGGAAAGTATTTTGGATATCATTTATCTAAGTATTTTAGGAGGAAGATTTTATTTGCTACTTATCTCATAACCTTGGGCCTTTCTATCATGCCTTTAGGTGGTTCCTGGAGAAATAATAGACCCAATTCCCCACCAGCTATTGAGAAAGTATATTGGCTATGCTCGACAGTATGTCTACCCCAGGCTGTCAGCAGAAGCTGCTCGAGTTCTTCAAGATTTTTACCTGGAACTTCGGAAACAGAGCCAGAGGTTAAATAGCTCACCAATCACTACCAGGCAGCTGGAGTCTTTGATTCGGCTAACAGAGGTTTCTTTTCTTTTCTTTTCTTTTCTTTTTGGTACCGGAGATCAAACTCGTGACCTTGTGCTTTCAAGGCAGGCGGTGGAACCACTGAGCTAAATCCCTGGCCCCAGAGGTTTATTTTCACATCCAAGCTTTGTTTTAGCTTAAAGAAGGGGATAGGGTGTAGTATGATTTCTCTTTTGATCAATTTCCTGCACAATTGAGTTTTTCTTCCTGCTGGGAAACATTAGGAATTGGTGGATAAAAGTTTATAAAAAGATTTGGTCATATCTGTAATATGTCAAATTATATCCTTCTAGGCACAGGGTCTGTTACTTATGATGCAACTTTTAAATTCTTTTAATGACAGGAGATTCCTGGAGTGTCTTAAAAGTGGTTTTGTTAACTAGGATGTGGGATTCCAAGTTGGGCAAAGGAGAACTTGGGATATGTCAAATATCTCGAGTATTTTATTTGGTTGCACTGCAGGTCTGTACAAAGGATAGTGCTACTTGCTAAGAGCAAGCATATCTTTTCATATCGTGGAATGCTAAGAGATCCTCAGCAGCTAACATCAGCTGAGTCAGATACTTGGGCTTTTTACTCCTAAAATCTGATTAATGATTACTGTTCTAACAAACTGGCTAGGTATGATTTCCTTAAAGTAAAAGGCAAGAAAAAAACCAAGTGTATTTCATAGTCAAATCTCCTAAAATGAACACTCTCAGAAAAAGATGTCAATAGGTAAAAACAAGTTTTACCCATATTTTAAGTGAGTTACTTTTATACTCAAATTTTCTAATTCTTAAAAATTCTGATTTTTAATATTATAGTTTCCTTCCTGCAAAAGTCAGTTTTTATATAGATGAATAAATAAGCTTAGGCCATAACTGCTGAAACAACAGGGAATGTATTTATTATCTTAAAATGATTATTTTCTTTCAAAGGCACGAGCAAGGTTGGAATTGAGAGAGGAAGCAACCAAAGAAGATGCTGAGGATATAGTTGAAATTATGAAATATAGGTAAAATTAAGATGTACTATAAACATGTACTAAAACTTTTTTTCTTTTTTTGGTAACGGGGATCAAACTCAGGACCTTGCACTTGCGAGGCAGGTGGCAGGACCACTGAGCTAAATCCCCAGCCCCAATTAAAAATGTTTTTAAATAAAAATTTTAAGTGCTGTTTTAAATGAAACAGCAATTATCTTCTGGCCTCAAATTATATTTTTAATTAGGCCAACAAAATTACTTTCATTTAGCCCATTGAATCATTTATTTTCCTTTGAACAAACTTCTTAGTTTAAAATATTTATGGCTGGAGAAATCTTGTATATTGAGAAGAAATTTTTTTTGAATGGATAATATAATCATATAGTTCTAAAATCAATTCAAAAGTGTATATTTAGGAAAGCTTATTCTTGTGTGCTAGATACCACCCACCCTTCCTGTCCACACACTCATTATTTCCCTTTAAATAGTGTGCTATTTATACTGCTCTCTGCCATTTCTGGACTAAGCAACATATCCAGAGATCTTTCCTTATTAGGACATAGACTAGCCTTTTTTACAGCTACATAGTATTCTGTTGTGTAGATACACCATAGTTTATTTAATTAGTCCCCTGTTGCTAGACACATGAGTATTTTCCATTCTTGCTATTAGGATCAATGCTACAAAGAGTAATGTTCTATATAAGATAATTCATATTTATATAATTTGTATACCTGTGTGATAAATTCTCAGAAGCAATATGTGTAAGGGTGAATACACTGGAATTTTGATAAATAGTGCCAGATTGTGTCCTTTGCATTTTATATCATTTGATACATCATGTTTTTTAAATAGTAAAATATAAAACAATTTCTATTTTAATTGAGCATATATGTCTACCTTAGACATAGGATCTTTTTCATCAGTAAAAGTTCAGCTAATGGGCCGGGGATTTAGCTCAGTGGTTTCGCCACCTGCTGAGCAAGCGCAAGAACCCGAGTTCGATCCCCGGTACCAAAAAAACAAAACAACAAAAGTTCAGCTAAAAAATTTAAGTTTTGAGTAGGTTGATACATTTATATGGTTCAAAATGGAGAAGTTCAAAAAGTAAGATAGAAAAAATTTCTTCCTATCTTGTTTCATAGTTGCCAATTCTTTCTGTTCTAGTGGCAGCAAATACTGGTATTCCCAATTTTTGTGTGACTTTTAAATACAAAATACATGCAACAAATATGTATGTATATATTCTTTTTCCTCCTTTAGAGACAGATGGTAGCACCCTGTACACCTTCCTTTGCTTTTTTTCATTTACAGTGCATATTGGAGATCATTCCATATCACTGCACAAAGAGCTTCATCTTCACAACTGCATCATAATTTAGAAATCACCCTTTTGTGTGTGTGTGGTACTGAGGATTGAATGCAGAGCCTTTACACTGAGCTACATCCCCAGCCCTTTATAGTTTTGTTTTTTATTTTGTTATTTATTCACTAAGTTGCCCAGGCTGGACTAAAATTTGCAGTCCTGCCTCAGGCTCCCAAAGTGCTGGGTTGACATGTGTGTGCCACCATGGTTTAGAAATCAGCTTTTAAAAAATATGCTCTCATAAAAATTAAAATATAAATCTGTTCGGAATTATTTTTCCAAGGCCAAAAACATATTAAAGATGAAGTGGGCC